AAAAAAAAAAAAAAAAAGAAATAATAGCATGAAGATTTGTTTTTTTTTTTGAGTTGGAGTCTCACTCTGTCGCCCAGACTGGAGCTCAGTGGCCGCTCCCGGCCACTGCAGCCTCAACCTGCCGGGCTCCGGTCCTTCCGCCTCAGCCTTCTGAGTAGTGCGCGCTACCACACCCGGCTGATTTTTTGATTTATTGTAGAGATGAGGTCTCGCCAAGTTGCCCAGGTGGGTCACGAACCCGCGGGCTCAGGGCATGAAGATTTTAAAATAGCCTTAGAATAGAAATAATTTTCTTTTATGTTATTTGTCTTAAGTAGCACAGTGGGCCTAGTGGTGAGATCAGTCGTGTTACTTACTGAACATTGAGCAGGCTCTTTCCTAGACTAAGGAGATTTTTAATGCAGGGGTTTGATGCCATGGAAAATTTGTTCATGCAGAACAGATAATGTGCTTATTCTGATCATAGTTTTATTTCATGGATCCCTGTCAAGTTTTGTAATGGTAATATCACAGTAACTGGTAACATGACTAATAACAAAGGGGAATTAAGGCATGAAGCATTTCCTCCTCCCACCCCACAACATACACATTTCTGAAGGTTTTTTTAGTCGAGCAGTGGAGAAGGTGGGGATATAGAGGAAGCCACAATTCTTGTGAAATCTTTGACCAGTTTTTCATTCTGTATCTTATAGATAAATGTAGGGTATGGGGCTGTGTCCCTTGCACCTGGTATAGGAGGTGCATATAAAGCAGATAGTGGGGAAGGAGTATAATTTTATCAGTTAGAGGCTCTAGAGTTTTTCATAGGAAGAACTAGTGAAGAGTAATTTGGGTAAGGTAGGGGTTCTTGTTGACATAATACACAACGGACTACCATTGGGATTTCTGCTGATTTTGCATATAAAATATAACTTTAGCCCAGGTTACTAAATTCAGTAAATAACACTTCTCCAGAATAGACACAGTAAGTATTGATTAGCTAATTTTCTTCACCTAATCCAAGAGCCTCTTTTAATTTTATAGGCAAATTATTTTGAAAAATGTGTAAAATAGAATTAAAGATGTAAAGAAGCATCCTTTAAATTATTGGAAGTCATATATTAGAAAATGAGATGTGTGTAGTGGATTGACTTGTATTGTTTACATGTCTGTTTTTAAAATTTTTTTCCTTGTTTTTAATTAACATCATAATTTGAAAACTCTTACTCTTTCTCAATTACTGATTTTTGTTTTCTTCTAGGGGCCACATTATCTTAGTTCCAGAATTTAGTCTTCCTCTGGAATACTACCTAATCCCCTTCCTTATCATAGTGGGCATCTGTCTCATCTTGATAGTAATTTTCATGGTAGGTAAATTAACTTTTAATAATTTTTTTAAAAGGCATAATGGTTCTAAAACATTGTATTGAATAAGAGAAGCCTTACACAAGAGAGTGAGTACATATTGCGTGAGTCCATTTATATGACACTCTGGAAAAGACAAAGATAATCTGAGTGGGAAAACGTCAGAATGGTGCTTGGCTCAGGGGGGTTGGAGAGGAGTGAGGGATTTACTGCAAAGGGTAGGAGGGAACTTTTCGGGGGTGAGAGTCATGTTCTATATCTTGATGGAGATTTGGGTTGCACAAATATATGGCATTCATCTGGATCCACCAAATTAATATACTTGAGTTTTGTGCATTTTATTTTATGTAAATTTGATCTCAAAAGAAATCAAAAGAGTTGTAAAAAACTACTAAATTCTGAGTAATGGTATGCATGTTGAAGTATTTTGGGGGAAATATACTGATATCTGCAACTTACTTTGGAATGCACTGTAAAGTCCTATCAGGAATAAAATAAGATGTATTGATGGAATAGTAGAGTGATGGATAGATATGAGACAAAAAGTATAGTAAAATATTAATTGTAGAATCTAGGTGGTAGATATATGGGTATTTATAAAATTCTTTCAACTCTTCTATATGCTTGAAAAATATTTTATTAAAAAGTGAAAAAATAATATGAGAGCTTAAGGGGAATAACATGTTGCTTTTCCAAAACAGTAGTTACCAAAGTGTGGTTCCAGGACTCTGAGTATGTCTGCAAATTCAAAATTATTTTCAGAATAATACTAAGATAGCATTTGCCTTTGTCATTCTGATTCTCTCAGTGGTACAGTGGAGGTTTCTAGAGGTGATTCGATGTGTGATATCAAGACATTTGAAGACAGAAGCAGATATGAAAATCCCTGTATTCTATTTAGACAGATAATAAAATAGATTTGCAAAGATATAAAACAGTCCCACTGTCCTAATTTAACAGTCATAAAAATATTTATAACATCCAATGAATTTATTATTGCATTAAAAGTATAGATTAATTTAAAGATTGAATGTCACCTTTAAAATGTTGAGTCTTTCTATGATGCTATAGTATTTTTTAAAAATTTATTTAAGGTCTTTCATATCTAGCAGGTTTTTTTTTATTTTAAAATTTTTATTGTGGGGTACAGTTCAGGGTTAGGTACACAAACATTCATTGTGCAGGTACTCTTATTGATGAGGTGTGCCCCTGCTTCCCCAGGCAGATTTCGACTACTGTCAGTCACACCTCCCTGCCCCCCCACCCTCAGTTTCCTGCTACTGTCAATCCTTTTCTTATAGTACTACAGTAATTGTTCAAGGTCACTTATGAGTGAGAACATGTGATACCCAGTTCTCCATTTCTGTAAAAGATTACCAGTATGATAGACTCCAGCTCTATCCAGATCGCTGCAAAGTTCATGATTTTGTTCCTCTTCATGGCTGTGTAGCACTCCACTTGTGTATATGTACCACATTTTCCTCATCCAGTTTTCCCTTGATGGGCAGCACAGTTGCCTCCATGCTCCTGCTATTGTGAACAATGCTGCGACAAACATATGTATGCAGGAATCTTTGTTATAGAGTGACCTGAGTTCTTCCAGTTAAGGGGATTGTAGGGTCATATGGAAGGTTGATTTTTGGAACTTTTAGAAATCGCCACACTGATTTCTGCAGAGGCTGTACTAGTTGACACTCCCACCAACAGTGTGGAAGTGTTCTCTTTTTGCCACATCCTCTCCAGCATCTGTTATTTTTTGAGTTATTTATTGGTGATGGCCATTCTGAATGGAGTTAGGTGGTATCTCAGTGTAGTTTTAATTTGCATCTCCTTGATAACTAGTGAGGCTGAACATTTTTTCATTATCTGTTGGCTGCTCATATGTCTTCTTTTGAGAACTGTCTGTTCACATCTTTTGGCTACTTTGTAATGGGGCTGTTTATTTTTTTCTTTTCAGCACGTTTGAGTTCCTTGTAGATCCTAGGTGTTAGGACTTTGTCAGATATGGAGTTGGCAAATATTTTTTCCCGGTCTGTGGGCTGCCTCCCTGCTCTCTTGATGGTTTCTTTGGCTTTGCAGAAGCTTGTCAGTTTGATGAGGTCCCACTTGTCTATCTTATCTGTGTCTATCTTATCTATATGGCATGGGCACTTTGAATTTTGATCAGGAATTGGTTGCCAATTTATCCATCAGTTTAATTATTTTTTACCCTATAAATGTTTTGCATGTCTTTTGTTAGACTTGTTTCATGTGTAGTAGTTTTTTTCTTGCTATCATAAAAATGATTTTTGAAATAATATTTTCTAATTGGCGATTACCAGGATATAAGAACATTTTTTAAAAATAAACTTTTAATTTTTGAATAATGTTAGATTTACAGAAAATTTGCAAAGAAGGGAATTCCAGTAATATCCCTCACCTAGTTTCCCACATTATTAACATTTTACATTACCATAGAACTTTTGTCAAAACTAAGAAACTGACATTGATACATTACTATTAATTAAACTCTACACTTTGTTTAGATTGCACCAAATTTCTTTTTGTTCCAAGATCCAATCCAGGATATCACATTGTATTTAGTTAGCTTGTCTTCCCAGTCTCCCCTGGTCTGTCCTTGTTTTTCATGAACTTGATAGTCTTGAGGAGTACTGGCCAAGTGTCCTGTAGAATGTCTCTAAATCTGATTTTTTTTCTCATTATTAGACTGGTCGATAGTTTTTTCAAAAGAATATCACAGTGGTGAAGTGCCTTTCTCATTACATCATTTTAGGGGGCACATGATAATCTGTAGATCATCATAGATAATGTTAACCTCCCTTGGTTAATAGTATTTGCTTTCTTTCTCCACTATGAAGTTAGTACATACTTTTTCCTCGATTTGATTCTTTCTTTGGAAGTGAGGCACTAGGTATAACCCACTCGTAAGGTGGTAAGGGGAAGGAATTAAATGCCACCTCCTAGAGGGGGAGAATCTGCATTATTCTGTAAGGAAGATTTTTCTCTTGTCAGCATTTGTTTATTTATTCAATTATTTATATTAGTTTGAGGTCATATGTATTTATATTATACTTACATTAGAAATTACATTATTTTTTTTTTTAAATTGTTTAACTTTGACTGGGTCTTGTGTTCCTCTGATTTGGCTCCTTCCTTTTTTTTTTTTTTGAGTTGGAGTCTCACTCTGTCGCCCAGACTGGAGTGCAGTGGCCACTCCCGGCCACCACAGCCTCGACCTGCTGGTCTCCGGTGATCCTTCCGCCTCATCCTTCCGAGTAGCCGGAATTATAGGCATGCGCTACCACGCCCGGCTGATTTTTTGATTTACTGTAGAGATGAGGTCTTGCTGCCCAGGTGGGTCTCGAACCTGCGGGTTCAGGCAATCCACTCACCTCAGCCTCCCAAAGGCACGGGATTACAGGCTGAGCCACCGAGCCCGGCTCCTTTTTTTTTTAAAAGTTCTTTCTGCTGTCTGGATCTATAAGATGCTTCAGGGTCATCTTATATGTTTTTCTTGTCCTAGCCATAGGATCACACATTTTTTCAAGAACCCTAGCTCCTTTTATTGGAGAGTTGTATTTAGAAATCAAGAGCTGGGCACTGGATATTATTGATTTTTATATATTAATGTCGTATCTACAAACTTACTGAATTCTATTCTGGTAATATGTTTGTTGATTCTCTTGGATTTTCAATGTAGGGGCAAGGAAGTATAGAGAAAGTTCAAAAGCCAAACAACAAACAAATGAAAATACCCTTGGAAAAGTAGGAATAGAAGTAATTATCCTTGAGCTGATCAAATTATTGATGAAAAACCTAGAATAAACATTATAAAATGGTGAAATACTAGAAGTCTTCCCTTGAAAGTAAAGAACAGGAAATAGATGCCTTTTGTTGTACCTTGTGTTTAACACAGTGTTACACTTTCTGGTAAAATAAAGGGGGAAAAGCAGTATGAGGATTAGAAATAAACAAACCAGATTTTTATTTGCTCATTTTCTTTAAATGGGTACTGAATTATATGTCTTTCTCCTCTCTATTGTATGGATCATTGGTTTTTTTCCCTTTCACCATGTTTATTTTTGGTTACATGAATTCGTTTCATAGATTTTTAAAAATCCTTGTATCCTGTTTGATTATGATGTATAAATTGTCTTCACATTTTTGGATTATTCAGATTTCTAATATAGATTAATCTTTTTTTTTTGTGTTGGAGTCTCACTCAGTCACCCAGACTGGAGTGCAGTGGCTGCTCCTGGCCACCGCAGCCCTGACCTGCTGGACTCTGGTGATCCTTCCACCTCAGCCTTCTGAGTAGCCGGAATTACAGGCACGCGCTACCACACCTGGTTAATTTTTGATTTATTGTAGAGATGAGGTCTCGCCAAGTTGCCCAGGTGGGTCTCGAACCCGCGGGCTCAGGCAATTCACTCACCTCGGCCTCCCAAAGTGCGGGATTACAGGCTGAGCCACCTAGCCCGGCTAGATTAATCTTATATATGAATTTAGATGCAAAAATCCTAGAATACTAGCAGTCTGAATATCTAGGTAAGGGAAAGCTTTGGTTTTATTTTATTTATCTAGAATAATCTTGATATCAAAACTAGGCAATTCTATGAACTGTTGGTGGGAAAGTGAAATGGAGCAGTCACTATAGAAAGCAGTATGGCAGTTCCTCAAAAAGTATAACATAGAATTATCATATGATCTGGCAATTCCACTTCTGGGTATATACCAAAAAGAATAGAAAGCAGAGACTTGAACAGATATTTGTACACTCATGTTCATAGCAGCATTATTCACAATAGCCAAGGATGGAAGCAACCCAAGTGTATATCAACAAATGAATAGATAAACAAAATTTGTATAAATACAATGGAATATATTATTTAACATTATCAGGGAAGGAAATTCTAACACATGCCATGAAAAGGGACAAATACTGATTCCACTTATGTGAGGTACCTAGAATAGTCAAATCCATAGAGACAGAAAGTAGACT